ATATATACAGTATATACAGTATATATATATATATATAATTAAATTTGGATCGGCCCGACTTATAATTTTAAAGTTTAGTTATTAAGCGCGGTTCGGCCCGGCTCATCATGCGGGCCGGACCGGGCTGTGTACCCAATGAAGGCCCCTAATTTGGATTAAATGCAAAAATTTGAAATTTTATTTCCAAAAATTTTCGAGTCTGGTATATGTATTTTCAGCCTTTTGAATTGCTACTTATCAGTCGCAAGATTTTATAGGTAACATGTAAATCCTATATATGAATAATTGCATTATACTGTTATATGTAGCAAAATGAAGTTACACATATATAATATATATATATAGTATATATATATAGTAGTATACATGTATATCGACATTTGGCATTGAATTGATTTTCAAAGACATTTTAAGTTGCATCCAAATCTGTCTTTAATAAAACCCCATCATCATATGTTACGATCTTCCGAGTGCGATTAAAATTTGGAATCCCATATCGATATAATATATTACATCATTAACCATTATATATCTTATAATAGAAGAGATCAGATATTTTTTTTAGGCTAAACAAACAATATTTAATATTTCAGTATTTAATAAAAAAACAACTACTAAATTACTAAATTTGCTAGATTTGCTAATCACAATAAGGTTAGCAGAAAATGAAAATCAAGAGATGCTTTTTTTTTTCTTTTTTTTTTTTTTTAAGAAAATTGTTGTCTCTTTAAATTACGCGAGAATAACTTTAAAATTATAAAGTACGCGATATGTTAGATCAAATATTAAATGCAGGAAAATGCAATAAATGCTAGTTAAAATAGGTGCTAAACAATATAGGAATATTACAAAAAATCCTAAAAGCAAAGCACAAAAAATGCCAGTATATATGCAAAAAAAAAACTAAAAAAAAGAGATGATTGTACAAAAATAAATAAACAAGTTACTGTAAAACATAACTTTAGCATAATAAATTTACTAAAAATGCAATTGTATTTCAAAATTAAAAATTAGAGCATAAACAAGACATTTATTCCTTCCATGAAATTAATTAAAAAGGTAATTCGCAATCCTAGTACTTGCAAATTAACAAAAATCAATTAACAACATTCTTGACATTTCCATTTTCACCAGTAACATGGTTTTCAACGTTTCTGGCATTTTTGGTAAACTCAGAATCTTTCGGAGAACTTGAACCATTACTATTAGTTCGTTGATGATTATATAAACTCGCTCTTCTACTACTTCGTTTATCCCCGTTACTGTGAAAGACTAATGCGGGTTGACCATCTTTAAGTACAACCTCCTGCATCACGTATGAAGGGGATCTTTGTGGAGGCGTTTGTTGCTGTTGATTTACAGTGCCCATTGGTATAGAAGAAGAGATTTGTTTGTTTCTCCATCGAGAGAGAGAAATTTGAAGCGAAAATGGGAGTGTAATGGTTAAAAATAAGGTGAAAACAAAGCTCGTAATGAACAAATTGCAACGGGCGAGAGCGGATGTGTCAGTCGCATTACAAGACATAGGGTTGCCTTTCATTACAGGTAAGATGTCTTGAAAAACTTTAATCAAAAAAAAATTTTTTTGGAAAGTTAATAAATGAGAAATGAGTGGAACAGATATCAAAAATGAAAGTGAAAAAGACATACTCAATGACAACCAGATACCAATCAAAAGACTACAAAAGTTGAAACCGGAAAAAAAGGACCGTAAGAAATTTTGAAAAAGAAACCATTAATGATTAATGATAAATTATAAAGGTAAATTTTAAACCAACCCATCTAAAAACACTTCATCTTTATGTGGACCATGTTTCCATCGTGGTTGAAATCGTATTAAAAGGTGACCTGAGTAAAAATTGGATTAGACGTTAATTTAACTATTAATTTCCAACATTAACGACTTTAAAATTAAGTGTAAATTTACCCAGGAGTAAAAACGAAAATACTGTAGCCATCCAATAATATATTACTGTAGAGTGTGTTCTAAGAATATAAAAAAAAAATAAAGATTTTCAAAACTTATAATAAATGATAAATTCTTTAGTCAAACTGGCATGTACGTGCGTGCAAGTTATGAGCCAAAGAATAAAACAGATCGAGACACCAACTTTATAGTAATGAAACATTAACACCTACGGTGTGTCACGATAATTTTTAGCGAATCCTACAGCCTGAACAAATTCTGTTTAAGATGGATCAAAAAAATGTACATTAGCGTATGAAGGTATATGAATATCCACATTTAGAAAAAAGACATACCTAGTATAATTATCAAAAATACCATTACTATTTGAGATACTCTCAAATAGTATGCTCTATCCTTCTGCTCCATATTTATTATCTTAAAAAAGAATGGCTTGAATTATTTCGTTTGTTCGTGAAATTAATCTTATGTAGTCGTATATTATAATAGAGTAGTTGTTATTCGAAATGTGATCATAGAGAGACAAATCTATACAAATATTTGATATACTAATAAAAAAAAGATAAAAAAAAGTTTGTTTTTTTTTTTTAATCGAGCGAGTATATTTAGCAAATATGTACAATATGTATATATATAATTAACAATTTTTGAAATGTTATTTACTGGGATAGCTTTCTCAAAAAAAACTTCTCTTTATATATTTTTTTTTAGTACTGAGGACTGGGATACTTTTAAGAGAGTTTTTTATGTTTTGGAACTACAAGAGCTTGGATAAATGAAGTACACAAAGCGACCTAGAAGCTCCAAAACGTGGGACATGATTAGATTTAAAGGGTATTTATAATTTTCTTTATATTAATCATAAGACCCGGCGCAACTTGTTAGTGGTTTGTTTGATGTGTCTTGTTATTAGTTCGGTGTTTTAGCTCGGTCATACTGTATAAAAACTAACTTTTATACTATATATGTATTACTTGATTACCGCCGCTTTTTTGCGCACATGCGTGCCATTATTTACATATACCATTTTTGTTCTTGTGTCGGATTGAAGTTTCTAAATATATCCTCGGATCTTGACGATTTCCTGATCTAAAAGGCGTAATTGAATTAAATAGCGTGGTAAATATTCCAGATTTTATATTCATTCTATACACTTATTAAGTGATGATTGCATATATATAAGTTATAAATAAAAGCGATTGGAACTTTTTTAGACGAAACATATCAGGTAAAACCAGAAAAATTTTTATCTTTGACTGGTTCTAGTTTTAATCAGTCAATAACTTTACCATTATACTTAGCGTTAGATCTCACCATCTATAACATCTGAATCTCAATCGTCAAAATTTTATCATAGTGATAGACCAAATAGTACAGTATATACAACATACGTATGTACGTACATACGTACATACGTTGACCCTGACCCTTACCCTCTCAATTATCATGAGTAGTGCATAAATTATTCACAAATTTATTAAACGTTAAGTTAAACAACTCATTAAGGCAGTGACGGATATTATGTAATATTTTTTTTATCTTAGGGGTTGTGTAAACTTTTTATTATCATAACGATATCGATATGTAAAAACCCCTCTAAGTGCTTAGTCCCGTGCATATAGTGACAAAAATGCACGCTTTCTCTAGATACAAGGTGCATACTGTACAGGGCGTCCTTAAATTATACTATATAGAGGTTATACGGTTGGTATACGTACGTATAAGATAAAATTTTATTAGTTATGTAACATTTATCCTTGGCTACCCTTATGATGATTGTTACTTTGTTTAGGGTATACGTGTGTGGTAGAAACTCCGAAACTTTGTATAAAATTCCCCTTTAGTTCTATTTACTTCGTTAGCGTTGGATTTTTATGATACATTACTAAATTTCGTAGGTTTTCAAGTTTCAAAATAGAAACTAAAAAATATTGATTTTCTACATTATCGTTACTGCATTAGTCAGATTATTAATCTTGCTTATTTTACTTTCTATTATTTTCTATTATTCTTCTATTAATTCTTTAAGCTTCTCCTTCACGGACTTTTTAGTTTTTTTTTATACACCGAAATTATCACTCCTTATTTAGATGTTGTAATATGCATGCGAAATACACTTGTCCAACAAGGGCTGCTAGGTTGTTTTTTTGATAAAAGTCTGTGTGGATAAAAACAATACACAAGATACACAAAATGTAGGTCGGTTCTTTCTATGGGAATTTAATTAACTTTATTTACTTGGTTGTTATGTTCTCGTGCTATGGTATCATGATTGAGAAACCATAACATTAAGATAGTTATCTGATAATATTATCATTAAAAAGAATTTTAAATTTGGGAACAATTTAACATGCGCCTTTTTTTTTTTTGATCTCCCCAATTTTAATCGTTTTGGTTATGCAAAAGAGTTAATAACTATTTCATTTAACTTAATTTTTGTCCATTTCGACTTATATGGATTATTTATACCTTATATATCTATTATTGTGTTACAAGTTACGTTTTATATATATAATACTATGACAAGTGTTAGATAAATATAAATATTTAAATAAATTTTACTGGTGCTGTTATCGCCATAGCTTTAATTGTTTTCGATAAATGGTTTTATCACCGTGTAATTTGTCTTAGCAATTGTGTGAATTGTGTTTCAACTTAAATTTTTTTTAATTTTGTTAAATAAGTTTTACAAAATTAATTATTATCGTTATAAATTATAGTAAAATTTTAAAACCTTTACGTATCTGCAATTAAAAAAAAAACAAAAAAAATATTAAAAAATAAATAATAAAAAAAATAAAATAAAAAATAAAATAAATATAAAATTACAAATTACTGTACGTTTTAAAAGAATTTTGATTTATCACATCATTGTTTTATTCAGAGGTTGTTAGAGGTTGGACCCTGGTATGTTTAATCATATATCAGGTCTTAGTCGTGCCAAACCAGGTGGACACAGGTGGGTTAACCTGTAGTCAACTCGTGGATTTACGGTTATTTAGATCAAAAAAAGATGATCTGAACCAAAATTTGTCTATGATTTATAAACTTATAAAAATTTGTCTATGATTGATTTGTTACGAATTTACTAGAAGCACCATAGATGTTAAACACCATAGTTATCTCAAAAACTATATAGCCCAATTAATTAATACTTGGTGCTTTAAGTAAAAATACTTAGCGCCTCAAAAAATCTTAACTCTAATTCTAACCCTAACCTTTTAACTTTCGCTTTAAATTTTATTAGCTAAAAAATTATATTACACAAATACTGTATTAAATATATATAAAATATATTTTATACGTAATAGACATTCCACGGGCTGTTGTGAATATCGTATATTAGCATGGCGAAGTCGTGGTAATACGTGATGTCATGGCACACCATGGAATATCTAACATATTTTTGCTCGTAATATTTTTTCATTGATGAGGTAATGTAAACGAAATAATTTTTGATATTTTCATGGCGTTACGTCATTATAAAAATATCATAATGTTTACAGGGCCGTGGAAATGTTATAAATATATTTATTATAAAATTTTTGCCCCAAAGTTTTTAGAGTTGGAATTGAGAAGAGTTTTGAAGGCATAACGCGTTTTTACTTGAAACACTATATATGTATTAATTAATAGCTAGTTTTTTTTTTTTATCTCAAAGTGATATCTGTTTATTAAAATTTTATTGAGCAATTTATTTTTGATTACATGAATTTACAAAAACACAAGTATAAATAGCTATATATATAACTTTAGATTATTTA